GCTGTCAGCGCTTGGTGATCAGTGTACACCTCTACGGGTAGACCATAGACAAACATATGGAACTTCCGTAGGGCGAACACAACTGCCAGGGCCTCGAGATCCGTCACGTGATACCTTTTTTCGCAGCTTGTCAAGCCTTTTGATGCAAAGAAGATCGGGTGCAGCAACCCGTCATCCCCTCCCTGGCTAAGGACTGCGCCCAAGCCTTGTTGACTAGCATCTGTATGGATCTTGAAGGGTTTCGTCCCACTTCGCGCGCCTTCGATATCCGGTTGAGCGAGGACTGGAGCTTCGGTGATGATCTTTTTCAGTTTTTCGAAGCTTGCTCTAGTCTCTGTGGTCCATTCGAATTTTTTCTTCTCCGAGGTTAGCTCATGCAGGGGGCCCGCTACTTTAGAAAAGCCAAGCACGAATTTTCTATAGTATGAGCACATCCCAAGGAAGGTCCGGAGGTTTGAACGCGACTGCGGTAAGGGGTATTTCTGAATCGCCTCTATCTTAGCCGGGTCCATATGTAAGCCATCTTGATCTATGATGTGACCAAGAAACTCCACCTTCCTCTCAAACAAAACGCATTTCCTCGGGTTTAGTTTGAGTCCTGCCTCTTCTAGCTTTTCGAGGACTTTTTCGAGCATGACCACTTGCCTCTCAGCTGAATCTGTAGCAACAATAATATCATCCAGATAGCAAAACACCTCTCCGCTCTCCAAAAGAGCACCCAAGACGTTATGCATTAGCCTCTGGAAAACTGGAGGAGACGCCGATAATCCAAATGGCAACACCCGGAACTGAAAGAGACCTTCCGTGGTGGCAAAAGCGGATTTTTGTTTAGCGTCTTCGGAGAGACTTATCTGCCAGTAGCCAGAGGACAGATCAAGAGTCGAAAAGAATGACTTCCCCTTTAAACTCTGTAAGATGGAATCGATCGACGGCAGCGGGTAGCTATCCACTCTGGTGACCTTATTCACTTTGCGGTAGTCTACGCATAGCCTGAGTGATTCATCCTTCTTATGGACAAGCACGATTGGTGAAGCCCAGCTCGACTTACTCGGCTCGATCACTTTTCTAGCTTGGAGATCGTTCAAAATGCGACGAAGCTCGACTCGAGTTGCGAGTGGCACTGGTCGCGGTTTTTGCCGTATTGGTGTCGCATCTCCAGTTTCTATATCATGTTCCACCAGATCTGTTTGCGATAACTCTTGGTCGGTGACTGCAAATGCATTCGCATGACGTTTTACCAAATCCCGGACGCTGTTTTCAAGCCTATTGCTCGACTTGCTGTTTTCCAGAAGCTTCATGAAGTGTTCCTCTCTATTGCGCACTTCCACAGCAGTCCGTTCCAGCATGTTTCCATGATAGCTGAGCGGCTGTTGCTCAACTATCTCCGCTGGTTCGAATGTGCCAACCTCTTCCCCCTCTCGGAAAAGCTTGGCTCCCGACAAGCCGTTAGTTACTGGGACATTTATGGAACAGCACTGTTTGTCCCAGACCATATCAGGGAGTATTCCGCATTTTGACCAAAGAATTCCCTCCTCCGGCGGCCCTTTTCGGCAAATCGGCAAGATTTTGGTCTCTCCTGGCCCGACATACACCCTCTTCGTGATAGTAACTGTCTCAGATCGCTGCTTCCTTTTCCCACTTGGGGACCTGCCGAATCTGCTACTACCTAGAGTGCTTCTGATTTTTGCGAGGTTGAGACCGAGCTTCGATAATGCGTTCGTACCGAGCACAATCATATCATCCCCTCCTGCCAATACAAAGAGAGCTATTTTGTGCTTCACGCCATTATCCAGTTGAAGAGTCAGTCTGACAGCTCCTTTGAAGCTCATCTGGTTGCCTGACGCATCATGTACTGGTGCAAGTTTGTCTATCGGCACTTCCTCGACATCCGCATCTAGGTCAAATCCGCTGTCTCTGCTTGCTACGAGCATATTCAACGGTATGATGCTGACCTGAGAACCTGTATCAATGAGGGCTTTCCGAGATAGGCCTAACAAGCGGACATTCATGATCATTTGCTCTCCTACCAAGTCATTTTCGTTCGGTGCCGTCCCGAGAGAGCTGCATAACCATTTGTTCAAAGAGGTTGTAAAAATCTTAGGTGTTTCCGCTGTAGGCGCCTTTCTTGCCGTTTTCGTTATCTTCGGCTTGGTACATTCGCGGCTATAGTGTCCTGTTTCATTACAGTTGTAGCACCGCGGTTGCCTTCTCCTGGTTGCGTTTGGAGTATCTGTCTGCCCAGCGGGCTTACTCGGCACTTGTGTCCTGTTCTTGTTACTAGATATGTTCCTCTTGGCGCCAACATTTGGCGCGGAATCCGTACTTCGCAGCATTGCGTTAGCCACTTCCTTACTTCGCTCGCATCTTTGCATCGCTTTTACCAACTCATAGGCCATCTCTTTAGGCGCGCTCTCCATCGTTGAGAAAAACTGTAAGTACTCCGGCCATTTGACTAGCTGCGACACCAGTTCCCCCGCTCGGGTCCTTGACAACTCCTTTTCTGTGGCATCCGGGTAAGCTTTTTGCGTTAGTCTTTCGAGTTCCACGCAGTATGAGGCCAGGTCCCTACCCATTCTCAGGTGCTTGAGGTCCATGTACGCTTTCATCTGGTTTGCAGAGTCGTGAACCAAACTGACTGCGCATTGCCTCAATAATATTCTCTAATGGGCCTTCCCTGATCCTTCGTGGTAACGCTTCTGCGACCATCCTTGGGTGTCCTCCTAGTTTCGATAAAAACAGATGCACCAACATATTATTACGCAACCCTAAGCCGTCGTATTTCATTTTAAATTTCATTACGAACTCATCCCACCCTTTCCCTTGGGGTTCTCTAAAAGTTTCCACATCCGGGAGGGTCATTGCAGCAAACATTTGCGCCATGGGATGATTACTGCGATCGCTGAGCCTACCTTGCGACTGGTTGCTGAACGTCGATAGGTTCGATACCGGTGTCGCTCGCGACGAGTTCTTCTTTTTGTGCTGAAACAGAGGGGAATCATCCTTTGTCCTACTTCTCACTGATTGTGTTTGGGACTCGCCTTGTGCCGCCGCTATCGGATCGAAATCGGCAAAGTAGACTACGTCTTCGAAGTCTCTTGCGTTCTCTTGCGAGATAGCGGGCTGCTGGGACGTTGAGGGTCCCGGCTCATCCGACGGTACCTGAATGATCTGAGATTTACGTCTGCTAACGCCGTTTTTCATTTCTTTCACTGCTTTTACAAGAAGCGCAGGCTGGACGTTCATAATCTTTACAAGTTCGTCAATGAGCCTAAGGCTGCGCGCGCCGCGCGTTAGCGTCCGATAGATGGCGAGTGGTCTTTGAGTTAGCAAACTCTCTACGGAGTTAAGGTCCTCTGTTACTTTTTCTAGCGCTTCTAGCTCCTTCCTGATTCCTTCACACTCAGTCATGATGCAATTGCGGGCTAAACTTACCAGCGCTTCGCACGATTTGGACTGAGCGCGAGTACTCAACTCAGGCTGATCCGCGAGCGTTTCCGGCAAATTTGCAAGCGCTTCAAGTCTCTCTTTCAAATGGCTCAGAACTTGATCTACCTGTGCTTTGTCCTTTTTGGCAATGTCTTGGACGACATTTACCAAGTTCTGAAGCGTTTTGTTCATCGACTCGAGCTGCTCAGAGTGCGACGGCTCATCCAAGAGCAGTTTGTCGATCTCCATCTCATCTATGTCTTCGGCCATCGTTGCCTGAAATAGAACTGTGTTTCTTCACTTGTTCTCTTTCTTTTTCTTTACTAGTACGCGACGCGAACACGATATTTGCGAGTAACCTCTCCGTGTATCAAAACGGTACGCGCACTTCGCTCCGCTCCCCACAACAAGCGGGCTTCTGTCGTGTATATGATACACTCAAACAGCGTATATTTCCCTGACTGAGAAGCTTTGTCAGTACTCGGTACACGCGCGTACGCTTCACCCCTTAGGACTGAAGCTGGCCGTGTAACTGACGCGCTTCTCCCCACAATTGAGAAGGCTCGATGTGCTGTACACCGAGTGCTTCTCAATAAGGGAAATATACACTGCCACTACACTAGGCAGGTTACACGCCTTGACCGTTTCAACGGTCGTTTCGGCGGAGGATTCCTTCGTTTGGTTCGGCCCCTATGTTACGCAATAGGAGGCCTACTCTAGGCGCTATCGCGGGGGCTCGGCGTGGTGTCCAGGGGTTTCTCAAGTCCTTTATTGAAGCGATCCTCCAAGCGATTGGCGTCGGCGTCCTCCTCGGCTTGGTTCCTCAATTGATCGACCGCTCACCAGTTGACTCGAAGACAAAAAGTGATTTGAACCAAGCGGAGCCGCCTTATATAGCGGCCGAGAAGATGTGCATGCCGCGCCAATCGCCTGGTCCCGCCACGACGGCGGGTGCGCATACGAAATCATGCCAAACAATAGGAAATTTATATCAGAAACGAACCAAACGAGATAATAACAACAATTGCAACATCAAAACAGCAAAATAAGATTAAGGAAAGAGGTACGCGCTAAGAATAAAGCACCTTTAGACATTTCAGATCATTCATATGTGTGTTTTTTTCCTTCTTTCCTTTCCTTCACACTATAACCACAAGCCAAAAATTCAAATTGTCGTCATTTTCTTCTATGTTAAATTTGATAAATTCCGAATTCTGATATACAACTATTGTTCCAAGAAGGCTGAAAATATATTGTTTTACTTCCAAAGGTTTGTAGTTTGGAACTATCTATGTCGGGACAGTGCAGCACTCCTTTACTATAGGAGGCCAAACTTTACTTTTTCAGCTTCTAGCCTTGGATAGAATACAGCAAGTGTACATATGCATAGTCTAAAACAATACGTTTCGTGAGCAAGTTGGAGGTTTGTAGAAATTTTTTGAACAGATGCGATTCAAGTTTTCTTCACAAATTATATTGCTGACGTATGTCATTAATGATTTTTGCTCTAAGTGAGCATTGCTAAAAGGCGTTGATTTTGTTTTATGAAAGTACCGATATAAGATTTCTTAAAAATGGAATTTGTTGTGAGTTTACAAAGATTTTGTTGCAAGACTTGTATGGATCTAAAACTAAACAAATAGTTATTTCAGATTTCTGATGCATTGCGTGGAGACGACAGTTCACCAGGCGCCCATTTTAACTCGTTACTCACATCATTGTATCTCGCCGATTCTTCGTTGCTAATCAGCGCTATATTATTTTTCTGTGCTGCGTATACCTTTGCTAAAGACCACCGAAAATTTAGGAGACTTATGGGTAAACTTCTGTGATAGTCTTTATCTCAAAAACTCTGTGATTACAGGTGTGCTGGACGAAAGTTCCAAATCTGAAAAGAGCGATGCTCCCAGATATGATCAAAGGCAGCTAGCAGAACAAAAGCTGGTATCACATTGATTTAGGGATAATCAATAATAAAACATTACTTCATATCGTAATTCCGCTTCATACTCAATGTTCACGTCCCAACTCCACAAAAGCTGCTTCAATCGTCGCTAAACCAGATAAATGTACATAGGATTCCAAACTTTCAAATAATCTTCATCATCAAAAGAAATGGCACGACAACTTGGAAGAGCAAAAAGTGAACGGAAAAGTATCGCTGACAGTCTACTTGTAGATTTCAAAGGCAGCGTCCAGGCAGATCTGGACCCATAGCGATTTTATGTGGAAAGTAATTTTGGGGCTCTAACTAAGGCATTGCCCAAACGGCAGCGCAAATAGTGCTCTCACGGCTGAGATAGTCCCTTGGAAACTGGACCCCTGGATCGTATTCGCATGGATTCATGACAGTTTCGCGCGAGGACCCACGTTGCATGCGAAGGACGATCGCGGGGTCCAGTTTCCAGGAGAAAATCTCAGCCATTAGAGCTCTACCTGAGCTGCCGGTTGGGTAATGTCTTAGTTAGGGTCCCAAAAATACTGTCTACGTGAGAACCCCAGGTGTCCAGGCAGATTTGGACCTATCAGGATTTTACGTGGAAAGTACTTTTGGGGCCCTAACTGAGGCACTGCTCAAGCGGCAGCGCATATAGTGCTCTAACGATACGCGATATGATACACGTCATTTTAACATGTCGAACATACTGAATAAGGAGGCACAATGGGCCGACAATCTTCGACAACATCTAACAAGTGCGGCCACATCTCCGCTAGTATCAACCATAAAGATGTGAATGTTTGGCGAACGAGTTTTGACTTGTATACTTTCACGAACGTGGCGTAGTCAATCATATCAATGTGGATGGTTGGAATTAGGAATCAATGGCTCAACTGGGGCAGAGATGACTCATCGAAGGTTCAACTGAAGCTTTTCTCAATTGAGATCGAAGGAGACAGCTTTGCTACGGGCCAGGTATTTTTTACCACAAAGCAGTACAGTAGAGTGTCTGCCATGACAAATAAACAAGCATTGCTAACCTTATGTTGTCATTTGTGATTGCAGTCGGATAAATCCAGAGACTTGACCGCTCACTTCAACTTAAACTACCAGCCGCTCTCTGCCGCTACGCGGCATGTTCGCTGCCTCGTGAACTTTTCGTTCTATTTTCTTTTTACTTTGATGCGGAAATGGGAAAATTTGCAGGTTGCCATCTTGCACGAATCAGATTTATAGCCTGCGCGGAAGGAACTGAGAATATATTTTCGCTTTGTCAGTTCATTTTGACTTAGCATTCTAAAACGTATACTATGCAAACTGCAAAAAATCAAAGACTCGGTAGAGGGGGTAGGGGAACGAAAGCCGCCAGTTTGAGCCGCCTTTCGTGGCTAACTGGTCCTTTCGCAACGTTGTTGCATGTCGTCCCAGGACCAGCAGTCTGCGCAAGCGACCGAAGCTGGCGGCTTTCGTTCCCCTACCCCGGTAGAGGCAATCGGTAGGTCCCAAGCAGATATTAAAACACGCCATATGCCATACACTATGTCTGCCAAACTTGGCTTAGATTCGATGACTTCTTCTATCTTTTTTGTGCGAACATAGAAAATTTTCTAAGCAAGACTGCAAAAAATCGATAGGGGCAATCCGTGTCACACATCCCACCCTATACATTATGTATGCCAAATTTAAATTAGATTTCATTATTCCTTCTGTCCTTTTCGGGCGAACATAAAAAATTTTCTAAGCAAAAACTGCAAAAAATGAATAAATCGATAGTGGCAATCGGTAGGTCCCAAGCAGATATTATGTAAAACACGCCCCACGCCATACCCTATGTCTGCCAAACCTGGCTTAGATTCGATAACTTCTTCTATCTTTTTTGTGCGATAGAAAATTTTTGAGCAAGACGGCAAAAAATCGATAGGGCAATCCGTGTGTCCCAAACACCGTTGACAAATCTATATTTTTGATTCTCCATATGAAATACTCTTCTTATTTAAGCGAACTAATAGCAGCTGTATTGTACATAACTTGCGTGAATAGTCAGACGAAGTACATCCAAACATGCTGAATTGTTTGAAAAAAGTTTTTTCATGTAAATGAGATAGCTATAACCACTGCTTTCTTCATCTCAGACCATTGTTAGAATGTAATTATTTTGTATCTGATATACCTACACGGATTTCATAAAAGAGCGAGAGGGAGAGAGGGAGGGAGTATTGTTCATCACAAGCAGTAAGTAGAGTGTCTGCCATGACAGATAAACACTGGAGCATTGTTGACCTTATATTGTCATTTGTGATTGCATTTGGTTAAATCCAGAACTTGACTGCTCACTTCAACATCAAACTATAAACAACAGTGGGTTAATCGTCTTCACTAACTGGGTGATACACGGAACTACTTCCCCTCTTCTCTACTTTTTATAGCTTTCTAGAACTAACAACGCTTGCAAGGATATTTATTGATTTACTTGCTTTTCAAAGTCTGACCTATACTCGAATGACTTTAGATTCCTTGGAGAACATGGGCAATACTTAGCGTCAGGTCCTGGTCGACCATCGATTCCAGTTGGTCCCATTCTCCCTGCAGAGCCCGGCATGCCATCTCTTCCCCTTTTCCCCTCAAGACCCGGCTGACCAGCATGTCCTGGACTTCCGTCTGTCCCAGGTTGGCCCATTGGTCCGGGTGGGCCTGGAGGACCTTCAAAACCTGGCATGCCTTCAAGGCCTGGCAAGTACTGAGTGCCTGCCTCTCCGGGCATTCCAACAAAACCAGGTAGACCTTCAGGTCCGCGCTCGCCTTTGTCACCTTCTGGGCCAACATCTCCATTCACTCCCGGACTTCCGATCTCACCACGTAAACCAACTGGTCCAGGTGGCCCAGTGGGACCTGTCTCCCCAGGCGGACCAGCATCTCCCTTCCTTCCTGCTGGGCACATAATACACTTGTTGTTATGGAATCCTTGCATACCAGGAACTCCTGGTTTTCCCGGTACTCCATCAATGCCGGGCCTTCCAAAAGCACCTGGTTTTCCCCGTGGGCCTCTTGGCCCAGGAGGACATTTTGGCGCAGGGGGATCACAATTGCACTCTTCCTTAATGATGCCCTTCTTCATTCTCGGTATAGACCCGATCGTGAAGACAGCCTTGTGCTTGTAGATTTTGTAGCCTGCCATTATCAGCTCCCAAGCATCATCAGTCTTGGTCTAAAAAAGCATAGTAAGCCTTGAAAAAAAAAAGAAAATTAGTAAAAAACTTTTACATTGAATTCTATCATGTCCTTTTTGATTTCATTATCAAGATTATTGAGTTCGGCAACAATGATAGTCATTGTCACTACTGCAGCGAGAGTAGCCAGAGCTGCTGCACTTGCACAGAGCACATATGGTCGAGACATTGATAATCATCAGATGCTTAAAACTGGTTGAAAGTGGAGCATAAGAAACCTGAAGTATATCGATAGAACTTCTCGATGACCGAAAGAGAATTATTCGTTTTATAGTCGTGCGTAGGTGAAAAAACTACTTGTCGGAAGTTGCAATTAGTTCCACAGCTTGAAATAACATCCGGGTTTTTCCAAGAAATTCTTGACTACACAACAACGCTAAGCTACTGTTTTATGACTGGGATGTGATTCCCTGTGAAAAAGATGTACTTTGGCCATACGGAACAAAGCTGAACGTTTCTTCGCGAAATACAAGTGTTCGCTATTTACCTACTCATATTGGATGGTCACGAACTCGAAGTGGGCGATCAATTCATGATGCATACCCTTATCGAAAGCTCTTACAGCTGGTTCAAATTCCAATTATCTGCGAGCGCTTCGAAGGTGAACGTCATGAGAGCTTTTGAGGCCCGAGTTTGCATTGCAGCGGGTGGAGGACTATAATACGTCGCCGAATGTGGAGGAGTCCCGCGCGGACTTCCTGCAGGAACGCATGTCCGCGCATATACAAGAGTGCATTTGTCGCAAATGACCGCGGGGATCGCCCTTTTTCGGCGACATAAGTCCGCTACCCCACTGCAGCGACTCGTGAAGGCACAGTGGCAAGTGTGCAGTGATGCAAGGTGGATCCGAGTCCGCGGGTGGAGGACTATATGTCGCCGACTTTGGAAGAGTCCCGCGCGGATTCCCTGCAGGAACGCATGTCCGCGCATGTACAAGGTTGCGTTTTTGTCGCAAATGACCGTGGGGACCGCCCTTTTTTGACGACATATAGTCCTCTACCCCGAGTCCGCAACAAGACAGTCCTCTTGCTTTGATTTGAAATTGAAAATTGGATAATCAGGTTTTTGAAGTGATTTCTCGATTTTGATTGATGTTATCGAAACTATTATAGTCGACTTGTAAGAAAAGACAAGACCTTTCGAAAACTAAAGATATATTAGGTTACTTTTTGAAGGCTACAACAAAGAAGTCTATTTTGCACTTCCCAATCAGATCTTAGGTATAAAGCAAAGCTATAATGGTTTTTAGAAAACTGAAGGCTTCTATGCTCAATCTCCACATCTTTACATACAGCCCAAAAAACTTGCTTCACACATTGGACTTGAGCCTTGCCCCATATACGGCACACTTACCATCGCGCTATACCTCCTTGTTGAGTGATGCAAAGAAAGCGACCGCGATCCGCCATTTGAACAATGTTCGAATCAATGAGCATTTGATTCATGGAAACCGGAGATGGGAAAACTTAGGTAATAAGCATTGCCCAAGCCGCATGATTGCTCTAAAAGTTAACACACCAAGGAATTTTTGAGACCCTATATGAGATGCAATAAAGGTAGTGGCTCAGCACTGAATATATTTATTTTTTTTATTTATTCATTCAATACGCACAAGGCGTGCCATATTTGAAACAAAAAACGAATACTCAGAGTTGAACAGTAAAGAAAATAACAAAACATCCCAAAAGCTCGAGTCCAGCTCGTGAATGGAAAGGGTAAGCCTGTGGACCGTGTATGAATATCAGTGCAGATGCTCGGTGGAGTGGTAGGTTGCTTATTTCTATGGAAAAGCAAGTTTACTGGCATAACATGCCCATTGACGAGAAAGTGGCTTTGATACCCGTGCGCGCAAGCCAATATCATGCCCAACCGAACGAGTCTTTGATTTCCCTCCCACCTTGGAGGACAGCTAATATCGAGAAAGTCGCTCCGGAAGCACGGAGTGTAAATTCGCAGTGGGGAGGACCTCGCCCACCTGCTAATTTCCATCCTGTGTTAGAACCCTTTTTCGCCGTCTTTGCGCTCTCCAGTGTGAATTTTCGGATTCAGCATAGCGGATAGGCCTGGGTAATTACAAAATCTCAAAGTCAAGTTATTGCTCGGACACTGCCTTCAAGTGCAAGGCCACAAAATTTGATGTTTGTGGAAAAGTTTATGGTTGAGTACAACAGACACCGGGAGCGGACCAGCCGCGGCCCTTTTCCGGCTGGAATTTCGCAGCTACCGCGACCCGGCCGGAGACTGGGCCTCGGCTCGGCCGCAGGTGGGCCTCGGCTCAGCCGTAGCTGGTTGTCGGGCCATCCGTAGTTCATTCCTAGGCCTAATTGAGCCTTGGCGCAGCATGGCACATAAGAAAATACACAGTAAAAAAGCAAAAATCAAGGCCACCGATATAGCAGCTTGGGAAACCAGTTCGACTTCAAGATTCAAACGCCAAGATACTATCGAAGGTTGTTCATAAAACAACACAAGAACTTGTTTCTACCTCGGAGAACATCCAGGGCATTGAGGGCAGTTTGACTGCGTCGTACATTACGCAAGTATCCTTCACGCTCAGATACTAGGAGCGGCCGAGCCGCGGCCTTCATTTGACATGGGCCGCGGCTCGGCCGTAGTTTCTAACACACAAATTTTAACCCATTGACGACGATGTGGACCACCGGTGGCCTACGCGCTTTTTGCTGCCAGGGACGATGTGGACCCCCCGTGGCCCGCACCTCTTGCAAAGTTGTACTATTTGCAGGTCTAGTATTTTTCCACATGCCAATATTTTTTTAGGTTTTTTGTATTCTTGTGACCTGTAGGCTCCGTCGTTAAAGAAGATGTTGATAGTTGTTTACAAAGCAACGTTGCATTTTGTAAATAAGCACAAAACCTTCACACACTGAAAGTATTGTGCAAAATCGCGTCGTCCCACAGCGCCGCCACGCAAAATTAGGCGTCGTCGTCAATGGGCTAATAGCTTAGCCGCCGCAATGCTCCGCCCCATCATTAAGAGCCGCGGCTGAGCCGAGCCCATTTTTTCCCGCTGCTCGGCCGATGCAAAGATGCACGAAACGCGGGTCGACCGCGCCCCCAAATCAAAGCCGCGAGCGGACCGGAAAGGCCTTTTGGGGCCGCGGCTCGTCCCCTGCCAATGTCTGAGAATAGCGAATATCTGGGTCATGCTTTCTGTAATAACCTAGCAGTGAGGTGGTGCGTAGGTCCACTTTCTCAATCTCTAGTGAGTTGCAATCGCTATACTTTGTCGTACATACTAGAAGGTGCCACTCCTAAAATTGAGAAATACGCAATGTTTCCTGCATATTTCTCCTGTCTCGCTAAGAAAAGAAAACTGTTGGAAAAAGGAGAAAAAGTTGCATCGAACAGTACCCGGCTGTCTACCCTTTCAAGTTCTACGAGGTTAGAATGGGCGGAAATTATTCGGTTGCCTTGAGAAATGCATTGTAGAAATTCTACAAGACAATCCACAGACTACAAAAATAGCGTCAGTTTGCAGAAGGTTTGCTCCATCTGCTGGCTCTCACAGCTTCCCCAAAAGTCGCGAATAAAAATTCTGGAAATTAGCAAAAGTTGCTTATGGTGAAAACGAGGAATTGTAATGTCCAGCGATTATCTCAGCACGCTCTCAATGAATCACAATGGGAATATGGCAGCTGGAAAGGGGAGATATTCTGCTTCGGAAACAGCTTGAAGTGTTTGTTTATCTTCAGTGTACGGGATTTGCGGGTCATTTCAAAAAGCCGACAAAACTTTCGGACTAACCTAATATGTTGAAGATATTTCTCGATAACTAGAAGGCTGAAAATCGATTGTTATATACCGTTTGTAGTATAAATATTTATGTCGGAGCCATAGATAAAATACGGGGTGTACATATGCACAGTCTAAAACAATAACTTTCGCGAGCAAGTTGGAGGTTTGTAGAGATTTTTTTTACAGAGACGAGATTCTTGGAAATTTAATTTTTAGATTTTCCTTCCTAACTCTCCGTGCATCTAACTACTCACCAACAACTACTCTACCGAATGATGTGCTCCATAGATTTTTTCAACCTTCTTCTCAAAGATAACAAACATTCACCAGTTCGCATCAACCTAATACAATCTAAGTTTTCTTCAACAAAGTACTGCTGACGTATGCCATTAACGATTTTTGCTCTAAGTGAGCAATGCTAAAAGGCGTTGATATTTCTCCCATGAAACGCTACCGATATAAGATTTCTTAAAAATGGAATTTGTTGTGAGCTTACAAAGATTCTGTTGCAAGGCTTGTATGACACCAGGCGCCCAATTTACCTCGTTGCTCACATCATTGTACCTCGCCGATTCTTCGTTGCTAATCAGCGCTATATTATTTTTCTGTGCTGCGTACACCTTTGCTAGAGTCGAAGATTTAAGAGACTTATGGGTAAATTTCTGTGATATTGTTCATCTCAGAAAACTCTGTGATTACAGGTGTGCTGGATGAAAGTTTCAAATGTGGAGAGTGATGCTCCCAAATATGACCGAAAGCAGCTGGCTGAACAAAAGCTGGTATCACGCTAATCTGGATTTGTAATAATATATCTTGTGCTTCCGTTTTATATTCTATGATCGGCTCCCAGATTCATGTGGAGGCAGATTGCGGACTTCCCTGAAAGAATAAACCAGTGGCGTACCCAGGATTTCCATTCGGGGCGGGGGGGGGTGTGGGGACAAAAGTTTTTTTCCCGGATGAAGATGCGTGGCGTTAGCCATGCACTCCGACAAATTATATGGGATGCTTTTGAAAATTTTTCTGGGCCCCCAACCCGAAAAATTCAGAAGAGGGCGTGACGGCAGCCATACCCCCGAAAAAGATCTTTTTACATAGCTAACTGGAATTTTTAAAAATCTCCAAAAATTATTTCAGTTATTTACAATTAAAAACAAGTCCTCTGCATTTTTTTAAACCACATGTAATTTTTAAAAATTTCGCAACCCATTTTCGGGGTACGTAAACTTAACGGGAGAGTACGAAAAACAATGTTGCAACGTGGAGGTTCAACAAGTTTATCTCTATTTTCAGAATCCGCAGCCCGCCTCCACACGAATCTGGGAGCAGCCTTATGCCAATCAGTCCACAGTTCACCGTAGGATACCGAAAAAAGTTGCTTGGAAAATAAACCAAACGTTCATTTTCTTGCGATACACTCCTTTTCTGATTTCAAGTTTGGGAGAATAGTTTTGCAAAGAATTACCAACTCTACAAAAGATACTTCAGTCATCGCTGAGAAAAGGAAATGTACATAGGATTTCAAATCTTCAGATAATCTTCCATCAAAAAGATTAGTATGACAACTGAGAAGTGCAAAAAAAAATAAACAGGAACCTATCGCTAAATTAGTCTAATTATGGAATTATCACCAGATACTTCCATTTATAGATGATTCATCGCACGCACGGACAGGACGCTGTGGCGTGCGACTAAGATAGTTCGTGCATGGAAGAGACAGCATAGGTTAGAAGGATGGGACTGCGCTCGATCGGCAGATGACGACGTCGTCCGTAGCCACGTCTTGTCTTTGCGCACAATGAATCTTTTATACAACAGAGTCTTCTCAAGAAAATGTTATAGACACGACGCACTGTGAAAGATCACGCAGGTTGTGGCTGAGGTGGAATGTAGGAAGAAAGAAAATCAGCTTTGGTGTCGTTTCTTCATGCGACGCGTAGCTTCGAACTGTTTGCGATGTGCCGCCCGCAGCTCAGCGTCACGACTCTGAAGTACTGCAATATGGATAACCGTAAATCAGTGCACTTCATAGATCGCAAACTTTAGTCCTTCAAGCCTCCGGGCATAATTCACCGATTCAACCGCGACAGAATTTTACAATACACCAATTGTTTGAAACTTATAGTAAACGCGTTATACAGAAGGAAGGCATTGTATCAGTCTACGAGACATAAGTATATACGCCATGCATTTGTAGTCTGTTGGTGTTGGTTTCAACAGCTTGGCAATTTACGTGAGATTAACATGATAATGTGATCAAGGTGCCACATGCTCCTCAAGGTGGAAAATTCGTAATTTCGAAGTTTGAGCGCGCACTATTCACCCTTTATTCCGAAAAAAACGCAAAATGTGGCACATTAAGTAAAATCTCTCCAGACTCGCAACATGGCAAGCATGCGACGTTTGAGTGCAGCAGAGTCCCCAGTACACTACTACAAAATATGCCCGTATACATGGGACCGAATCAAATGATTCAATCATTCGAATAAATCATTCGAATGCGAATAATTCGCGAATCGGATATTCGAAAATCCAAGATTTAATTCGGAAGTCGTCGCATATTCGAAATTTTCAGTTTTCGAATATATTTGATATTCGAATATTCGAAAATCTCAACTTTCGAATATTATTTGATAGTCGAATATTCGATGGTCATCGAAGGTACAGTCGAGTAGATTTTCCGCCTAATATAGTGTGTTTACACTGTAGGTGAAACGCGGTGAATTTTGCGCGTAAACAATTAGACACACCAGTAATGCCGGCATCCTGCGCGCGCAGTTGGAAGGCGGCACAGGCGTGGCTATTTCTTCACGCGCAAATTTTACCTCATTTCACCAATTGTGCAAGTACACTATATTAAGCGGAAAATCTAGTCGACTGTATCATGGTATTCGAAGCATTCGACGAACAACGAATATTCGAATATTTGATGATCATCGAATGAACGAACTCCATATAAGCATAGCACTTCGTTGTAGAAGTTTTTATCAAGCTACAACCAGGGTCAAGCGTGGGGTGTGCCGCGCCACACCTGGGGGGTCGTAAAGAGGTCAAGAAGAGGGGGGGGGGGTCGTTATCGAAGTGAAGGTGATGTTAACGACTCAGACAATCGAAGGGATACCTCCGGAGCAGAAATGGGAGGGTCCCGGGCGTCACGGTGACGTAAGAAGGCGAGTGGGACCCCTCCCTGGGGCTCGCAAATCTCTGCTCCGGGAGTGAGCCAGATTTGGAGTAGCCCCAGAGCACCAAAACGAGTGAAATGGGAGGGCTCCGAAGCACGAAGTGGCAGACCCCGCCATTTGCCCTCCGGAGGTATCCCTTCGACTGTCTAAGGAGACACGTACTTAAATCTACACATGGCTGCGCAGAGCGCGCCCCATGACCCAGTACAATTTAGCCGGCGCGCAGAGAATTGACGCTGGGGCGCGCTATAGTACTGGGACTTCGCTTTCATCACGCTCACTACTCCATTCTTGACAAAGTACTTTACTGTTCTATCTCTATCTGTTTTCATCACGCCACTAGCTCCATTTTTGACAATGTGCTTTAGTCTTCTATCTGCGTCCGTAGCTATCTCTGCGCTAAGTGTTTGTAAACAATCTTTTTTGTTGTTGCAAGCTGTATGACGGTTGATGGATTTCGTCACTAATTTTGTAAATGATCTGTCTGTCGTCAAGCGTGGAGTTTTTGTCATACTATTCTAACTACTGCATTATAAAACTGACCATGAGGTTACAATTAAGTAAGTTACTTGTAATAACTTGCATGCCAGTTCCGAGAATTTGGTCGACGCCGCTTTCTACTAGCTCTCACTCATTGCAATGGAGATTTATCCTATCGGAATAGTATTTTGAACGGATATTTCAGGTGGGGCTGCTGTCTTGAGACAAACTGAGTTTTTCTCGGATCGTTTGTACGAAAATTTGAGAAGTATCTCTTTTGGCCTAAACTCCAGTTGAAGAAAAGACTTTATCCTTAGATCAATGGAACTTTTGGAAATGTTGCAATGCAAGTTCTAAACCTCAGTCGAATACAAAAGCTTCGTAAAATTGAACAAAATTAGAAGAATCCTCTTCAGTTTTTGACAGAAGCCAACAATGGCACCGAATTGAGCAATAATAAAAGTTCTGAGTTTGGCAAACATAACGAGAGAAACCAGACTCAGACTTCGAGACACTTGCTTGCACGTTTCAAATAATGGATTTCAATGGTACTACCTTGAAACAGATGAACCTTGATGAATACATAAGGCGATTAATCGTTCCTTCACTCTATAAGAAGAAGTAAACTTTAGATGCACGTTGATCAAAAACGTCAAGTCCACACTGTTTAGCGTGCCCCACAGCGAAAACCCCGCGCGCCGGAAAAATTCGCATTGGGGCATGGGGCGCGCTTTGCGCAGCACGTGTAGATTTAAGTACGTGTTTTAAGGAGATGATGTCAGTCAACAACTCAGATAGTCGAAGGGATACCTCCGCAGCGAAAATGGGAGGGTTCCGGGCTCTGCCCAGCGTCACCGTGACATATCTTATATATAAAGCTGAATGTCTGTTTGTATGTCTGTATGTCTGTCTGTGTGTACGGGTGGAGGACATTAGGTCGCCGAATTTGGAAGAGTCCCGCGCGGATTCCCTGCAGGAACGCATGTCCGCGCATGTACAAGGGGTGCGTATTTATCGCAAATGACCGCGGGGACCGCCCTTTTTCGGCGACCTAATGTCCTCCACCCTGTGTGTACGTATGTTTTATTTATTTATTGAGACGTGCAAACAAACACGTGAATATGATATGCAACTAAAACCTGAGTGATGAGAGACCATAATGAAACGATTTGTGATTGAGGATAATGAAAAATAACAAAAAACAACTGATATAGTAGTAAGAAAAACAGAAAACACAATAAGGACGAAATTTTAAGGAATCCCAACAAAGCAACAATAACAAGAATCTAACACAATACACTAATAAGATCAGAAAGGAGGACGGTCGGCAAGAGAACAACATTTGGTTAGGGTTTTATTAAGAGCATCTTGACCGAGCAATTTGTTGAAATCCGACAACACTCTGAGGGTGAAGAATTTTGATCGCAAAACGGACTTGGCTGTGGGAGCTCTTAATTTGAAGGAAGCCCCTCTAGTTCTGGAAGAGGACATGACAAAGAATTTTGAGAATTCAAGTCTGCATCTACCGTTTAACATCTTAGGTGCCATCGAGATGTCAAACTTCTTTCTTCTAGAAGCTAAACTAGGTAGAGATAACAACCTTCTACGTTCTTCACTCCCCGGAATGAGGGAGTAGTTGGGGCCAAGAATTCTTAGAAACAATTTCCGTGTGAAATTACTTTGGACACCTTCGATCGCTTTCACGTCTTGAATCTTGTAAGGCGAAATAACCGTGGTGCCAAATTCAAGAATGGGACGAACGTATATCTTATAAGCTTTTATTAAAACACCAGGGTTTGAACATCGAAGCGCTTTAGATAAGTTGTATGTCCGAAAAAGTGCTTTGCAAACGATGCTGTGATAATGAGTAGTAAACTGAAGCTTGTCTGAAAATGTAAAACCCAAATCTTTTACTTCAGATATTTGTTCCAAGCGATAACCATTGAGAGTATAAGATGACTCTATTTTTTTGACTCCTAATGACATAACGTGGGTTTTCTGTGCTGCTAAAGGTAACTCGTTCTCTTTAGATCACTGATCAACTGCATCAATACATGACTGTAAACCTTCAATATCACTTGTATCTTGGATAACTTTGTAAATCTTTATGTCATCAGCATACATAACACATCTAACGTCCCTACCCTCGAACACATTGAGCAAATCGAAAGTGTAAATGAGAAAGAGTATGGGGGATAAAACCCCACCCTGAGGCACTCCGCTAGATATAGAATGATTTTTTGAATACTCACTGCCAACCCGAACTTGGAAGGTACGATCGGTCAAGAAGTGTTCAATCCATTTGTAAGTCATCCCCCGCACTCCCACTATCCTCAGTTTGGACAACAGCTTGGAAGTAGGAACCTTGTCAAATGCCTTAGAAAAATCAAGAAATATCACGTCAGTTTGATGACGTTTATCGGCCTCTAAAGTCCAGTCATTCATGGCCGCTAATACTGCAGTCTCAACAGAACTGCCTTTGCAGAATCCATGTTGACAGGAGGGAATGATCGAGTATTTTTCAAGATGCTGAACTATGTGTTCCTTCAGAATTTTTTCAAATGTGCGTGCGAATATGGAGGTTATGCTAATGGGTCGATAGTTTCTGGAGTCACTATAGGGTGGTTTTTTGGGAATGGGTGTAACAAGAGAGTGCTTCCACCTGTCTGGGACTTCACCTCTCATATATGATAAATTGGAAAGGTATTCTAAGGCGAAACCAAGTTCCGGTAAAACTTTCTTGATAAAAAATAAGGGTATTCCATCAGGAGTAAGAGAAAAGGAGCTGGGACATCGATCAAGAATATGCATGATCTTTTCCATTGAAATCAAACTGAGTTGTCCATACCCGGGAAGGTGGGGGCTGGGTTTGACTCTACAAATGAGTTGCAGCTGTAAACCTTTACGAATTCTTCGGCTAACAAGTTGGCCTTTTCTTTGTTCGATGATAAGGCCCTGCCGGAGTTGTCGACCAAAGGATAGGGAGCATTTTTATCACTGAGGTGTACTCTCATATAGCGATAAAACCCGGCTGGATGTTTCGACAAAATAAGTTTCTTTTCAAGGTTGATGTGGTATTTGCTCGAAGCTTTGACAACTTTCTTATTGAACGTTCCACAAGCAGTCCAAGCTTCAGTGTTACCACTCCTAACAGCAGCGGTCCAAAGCTTATCGCGTTTTTTAATCATACTTATAAGATAGCCCGGTAAACTCTGGTGATTCTCTATAACCTTACGCAAAGGAACGAACATCTCCACCGCATGATGCAATACTGCAATGAAAAGCTCATACATCTCATTGACAGATCCCAAGGGCGTAAAGCAG